TAGCCCCCGAGGAGGCGGCGCCCTTGACTGTTGCAGCGGAGAGCCCCGAAGCGCCTCCCGCGGACGCGGAGCCGGCGCCGGCTCCGGCCGCGCTTCCCACCGCTCCCTCACCGACGCCTCCGCCAACGCCGCCTCCTCCTTCTCCTTCTCCTCCTCTTTCTGTTGCTGCTGCTGTGACCACTACGACTCCTTCTCCACCTCCTGCTCCGTCTCCGAGTGCCCTCCCTGCTCTTCAGGGAGATTCGGAAGGAGAGGAGAGCACAAGAACTGCTCTTAGCGAAGAGGCAAAGGATGCCGAAAAGAAGGAAGAGACCGAAGCAGATGGGCAAGCGGAGGAGAGCGCGGAGTCTCCGAGTTTGAACTCAAGGAAGAGCCCTGTCCCAGGTAAGCCTTCGGCCTCGTGGTTTGGCCTCCTCCACTTGAGGATGAAGAAGAGGGCTCCTTTTCCTATCAGAGAAAAGCTGGCCATGCCATGAGGTTGTTTTAATTGTCAAGCACCCTTTAAATATCATTTCTTCCTTAACAAAACGCTTAAAATATTCTCCATAGTTTAACTGTCCTGAGTATTTCCAACTTGAGTGAGAGGTTCATGTTCATTGCGAACTCCTTGCAACGTTACCGCCTGCTTTACAGTGCCTGGGGTTTAAATTATTGTTACTTCTCTTCTTTACATACAGCATTTGGGGTTCTTAATTATGCAGCAGATTGATTGTAATGCCTTGACTGGGCAGCACGCCTTAGCCAATAAGCTGGTTTTAGCTACCAAGAAATGACTATTTCTCAAGTCACATAAAACCACTTGGAGCCGTGACCGCAGGATACCCAAGGAAGGTGAAATGCTCCAGGTTGGATTTTTATGCTTTCCCCAGCCTATAACAAGGTGGAGCCGCATTGCGTTTCCCTGCTAACCATTTGCAGTAATGATTTTCCAGCTCTTCCTTGGAGAGAGGAAGAGAGATTTAGCTTCCACAACCCGATGGCGACTGCCAGCGCCGCATCCTTCTCGGCACAGCGAGGAATTGCCCGTCTCGCGGCCGCACGCCGGAGAAGGCGGATGCAGAACGTCAGAGCCAAGGAGAAGGCGCCGCGTTGCTGTTTTTTTATCCCTAGAACTAAAGGCTAAGAGGCTTTTTTACGCTCTCTGGCAATAGGATAGAAAGGGGAATTCTTGAACGCGTGCTGCGCAGCACGAGCTCTGTCATTCTTTTCCCGATGCTCCTTTGGGTTTTCCAGCGCCGCGCAGGTTGCTGGAAGCGCACGCTGATCGCGGAGCAGTTCAGCTCGCTGCCCCTCCTGGCCTTAACCTGCTCGGTTTTTATCAACGGGACTTGGTGAATTCAGAGCAGAGACCTCCACGCATGGCCTGATCGCTGCGGGAAGCAAAGGAGGAAGTGCCAAAGCTGTCAACAAGTTGCAGACTTGTCAGATTAATGTTTTAATCTCTTCCTAATACATTGTGTGATTTCTTTGACCCTTCGGAGAGGGGAGAGCGATGATCAGAGTAAATCAGTGCTGACCTTAGAAATATTTTATGGTGTTTTCCTTGCCTTGGTGGGCTGCTAAGAGCGAACCACGGCGTCATTACCCTGCTTGGAAGCTGTGTTGCAGGACGGCAGCGCCGCACGTTGCGCTAACTGTGGGGCTCTTCCACAGAGACGGCCACGTCTGCGGCGTCCTCGGCGCGGGGGGACCCCGGGGTAACCCTTCTCCGCTTGCATTGCAGCCCCAACAGCTCTCACTGCACCAAAGACGTGGAAGAAACCAAAAGACGGGAGCGAGGGCACGGAGGAGGCCGAGGAGGCGGAGGTGGAGGTAAGGGGTGACGCGGTCCTCCCGCTTTACCTAAAGCCATGCAGAATTCCAGGCTGGCTCCGGTGCTGCTTGGGTGGGCATGTTGCATGTATCCCACCGTGACAGCTGGACTGTGTTCAACAGGAAGGCTGGTGGTTGGGTAATGCCAGAAAATGAAAAGCATCATCCCTATGTGCTCGTTTTCAGGCCAGTGCGGGTTGCTGGGGCTGTGCCCGCGAGTTTGTGCCTTCTCTGCGCTCCCTTCCTCATTTCCAGGGGGAGTCCAGTCCCCTGGACCGTTTTCACCAAGGCTAAATGTCCTCGAGGAACGCGGCGCTTTTGCGGGGCCCTTGAAACCAGGAAAAAGGAGTTTGTGGGTGCAGCGCTCTTAGGCAGGCAGGCGGGCGAATCGAGGGGCTCTTTGGAGCATCCCTGCTCGTTCCTTCTTGCACCACATGGATGATTTCCAGGTAGCCGCGGATCTCCAGCAGAGGAAGAGCCAGGTTGCCCTTGCGGGCTCCGTTGCTCCTGCTCCGCGCTGCCGTGCTCCAGGGCTAGCTGGTTTCTTTCCCCCCGCTCCCGATGGCTCGTGCGGGTGATGCCGCTCGGCCCCCATTAATTACTGGCAGGTTGTTACCTCTGGGAATGAGCATAGGGCTTACAATAAACCATCTTGTTACCCTGGGCTTTATTACAGGCCTATATATCACTGCTGAAGATGCATATTTGTTCTCGTTATGAGCAAGGCGCACCGTATGTCTCTCTGAAGAGCTGCTTCATGGGCTTTCAGTTTTGGCAGGGTGTTTCTTTTAACATAACCTCGGTGTTTCCGCCTGTGCTTCAGGAAGAGGAGCTTTCAGGTGACAAAGTACTTGAATCCGAACCGGATAAAACGAACCATGGCTTCCCGCCGGAGAAGGACCCCCCCGAAGTTAAGAAGGTGAAAGCCGTGGAGGAAAACGGAGAGCAGGACGCGGAGCCGGTGCGAAACGGCGCCGAGAGCGTCTCCGAGGGCGAGGGCACCGAGGCCAACTCGGGCTTCACCGAGAGCTCCGGCGAAGGGCCCGTGTACCAGTATAAACCAGGTAAGGCCCCTGGGGCTCTTGCACACGCTCGCTTGTTTCTCTGCTTTCCTCTTCCTTGAAGACCCATGAATCCCGTTCGGGTCTTCCCGGAGGGGAACAGGATGTTTGCAGCGGTCCCACGAGGGACAGGGAATGTTTCCCTGTGGCTCCAGTGGCCTTCATGAACCACCAATCTGGGTGGTACCTTTGGGGTAGCACGGGAGGAAAATTGCTTTGCTCCTGCTGCTAGCAACAAGGAGAGGAGCCTGGAGAGCGTGAGCAGCCCCTCTGCCACTGGAATAGCTGCTGGGAATGGGAGGGAATCAGGCACCCTGTGACCACGGGTTGGAAACGATCCAGGAAACTTCCGTGTAAGCAGGCGTACTTTTTAAATAAGAGCTGTGACAGTTTTAATTGGATACTAAATAACCAGCCCATTAGCCTGTCTACTTATGTATATTTAATTACCCAGCTAAGCAACTCTATAGATATTAAAAATTTCCAGGAGTATAAGGAAAACATTTTATTTGCAATCCAGGTTCTGCTATTAAGTTGCGGGTATACCTGATTCCTGTGATAAAAGAATTAAGTGCAGGCTCAAAGGATGCAACATTTCGGTGCTAGTTAACATTATATATGATCCACCTAAGGGGTTTGCTTGTTGTTATTCATTAAGGTACCTAATTTGTTGTCCTGAACCTCTATAAATTCACTTCGTTAAGAGAGACCTTGAGACCATCTTCCCTTTGAGTCGCTACCAATTTTGAAGCCATTTATTATTCAAGCGACACTTCCTCCAAATAAATTGTTTTCTTTGGAGGCCAGAAATTAAGAGCATAAAACAAAATCAGGAAAGACCTTGAGAGCCTGGCAGAGATGATGTTTGGAGGAAACACCCCTGTTAGGTGATTACGCCGTTGCTGGTACTTCCGTGTGCCTTTGCTCTTACAAAGACCTGAATTGCTTTTCTTTTATTAATTTGGCCATATCGTATCAGTAGAAGAAATCCTGGAGGCCTCTTGATGGTTTACGCTGCACTTAACCTCGCTTACCTGTTCGTTAGTTAAGCACATCTGGAAGTTAATCCATAATTTACGTGTCTTTCTAAAACCCTGGACGCGGTCAGAATGATTTCAGGCTGCTCCACGAGTCCTTTAACAGGGCTCAAGGTCTCAGCTGATCCTCTCAAATGCACAGAGTGGACCTGAGCCCTCGCTGCAGCAGTCCTCCCTTTCGGGTCTTTCCAAGTTATGGGTTTTTCCTATTAGTGGAAGACTTGGATCCCTGTCTCTTCCCTCCTTGGCTCGGTCGGGAGGCTGCCAGCGACGTTTTCCAGCTGCTTTGCACATTGTGACTGCTTGTAAAGAGCTTTGCGGGAGAAGGAAACTCCATATAAACTATTCCTGGTTGGGATTTTTGCATGCCGACCTGGGATTTTTGCTGGCTTAGGGTCTGGCCAGCCACCCCTCTTTTTTCCTGAAGCCTCAGAGAAGAAAACCTGTGCAAAGAGCTAGTGAGCAGCGTTGCTTTTGCAGGTTTTTGTTCACTGTCATTAAAACTCATCATGAGGTAGAAGTTGCTGGTCGCAGCCTCTGCTGGGATGAGGATGCTCAGCACCCAGAGTCCTAAACCTAGCGAACAGGGACTAAAATAAGGAAAGCGGAGAGCGCCTTAGCGAGAAAGCTGTGTCTGAGGTAGAAGTTGCTGGTCGCAGCCTCAGTGCTCAGCACCCAAAGCCCTAAACCTAGTGAATAGGGGCTAAAATAAGGAAAGCGGAGAGCGCCTCAGCGAGAAAGCTGTGTTGTTTGGCAACAGGAAGATCCAGAGGAGATGTCTCCTGCAGATGTTGTCCTTCAGATAAAAACCTGCTTGGGGGCCGGACGAGCCATGCGCAAGTGGAGGTTTCTTCTCCAACTCCCAGCCGTGCAGCAGGCGAAGAAAATCACATCCCGACGCTCCAAGCTGGGAATTTTCCTTGCACTAACATGGGTTTGTGTCGGGCAGGGGCCTCCCATCCCTGTGCCTGCGAGCACGCAAGATCACCAGGCAGAAAGCTGCCAGCCTCGCAGCTCACCTGCACTTTTTCCTTTACGGAAACGCAAGCGGAGCTGCGTTTGTTCCCTATGGATCTCAGTCAAGTCCTCTCATTATAGAGCAGTGGAAGCCCCTGGATCCCGAAGGCAAGAAGCAGTACGACCGGGAGTTCCTGCTGGATTTCCAGTTCATGCCCGCCTGCATCCAGAAGCCAGAGGGGCTGCCGCCCATTAGCGATGTGGTTCTCGACAAGGTGAGAGGAGAGCCCATCAAACAGGTGCGTGCAAATCATTTAATAACATCTCTATCTAGAAAGCTTTTAATCAAAGGATGGTTTTTATTTTCCTGAAACCACATGCTTTTGCCTGTGCCTTGAGGAATAACTCTGTTTGGGGATCAGTTAATGAGTGCTTCATTCCTTGACCATCTTCTTGACTGCAATTTTTGTCCAGGAAGGGAAGTACTTGGCTCTCACATCACTAGACTGCTCAAGTAAAGACATAGTAGGTTAATGACTGCTCACAGGCTGTTTAAAAAGCAGAGCACTTTGAGTGGCCTTTACCTGGATGAAGCTCTGCCGAATTGTCACTCGAGTTTAAGATAATGTCTCCAAACCTTGGAGACCTAAGCAAAGCCAGTGATGTACTTCATGACTTCGGATGTAACCCTTAAGATTTGAGGAGGAACTGGAGAAATGGGCATTTCTTAACGTGCAGAAACATTTCCACTCTGAATTTGATGCAGACAAACTGGAATATGCAGCGATGTTCCCAGAATGTTGTCATCCACCTACTAGTTTTCTGTGATTGCTTCTCGCTGTCCTTTGGGGCTTCCTGCACTCGGTCAGCCATCTGTCCTGTTAGCACAAAGACATTTGTTGGAGGGAGGGTGACAGTTCTGTGATCCTGAACCAAGCCCGTCACATTCATTTTGCAGAGGACGGGCCCACGTCACCCTTGTTTTAGCTGCTATCAGCTACGTTCAGCCTTGAAATATTTCTGAGCCCCGCGTAGCCCTGCCGTGGATTTTCACGGTAGCCACCTGTGTAGAGCATGCTTTAGATTAAATGCAGATTTTTAGTCTGAGTATGGATACATATAGCACAGTGAAGTCACTAAAAGCATTAATTTGGATATTAAAGCTATTAGTTATGGCCGATGCTCCAGCACGGGCAGGGGTTGCGGTCGGGTTTGCGCCAGCTGCGGCGGGCGCTGAACGGCTCCTGTTGCTGCTTCTGTCCCTAGGTCAATCAGCCCAAATTGCCCCTGCGGACGCTGGACCCCCGGATCCTGCCTCGAGGCCCTGACTTCACGCCAGCCTTCGCCGATTTTGGGAGGCAAAGCTCCGGGGGAAGAAGCGTGGCTGGAAGTGTGAGTTTTGCTAATTCCAAACCCGGCCTTCGTACTGGTGGAGTCCGTCCTCATGTTTTGGGGCGTCCTCAGGTGCTTCCCGTGATTCTGGTTTTGTCAGGCTCAGCACAAGGTTAATGTTTTCTCGGCGGTCAAAATGCAGGCAAATTAAAAGGCAGTGTGGATGTTTTTAATGGTACGTATTGGTCTCAAATGGATTTAACGTCCTCCTTTCCCTTCTCTTGCGCAAGAAATGTGTGGAAACACGTTTCCACATGAGATCCAGGTAGTGGCTTGTGTGTGAACACACATTTTTCATGTGGTACGAGCTGTGTGTTAGCCCGTATCCTCATAGGAACCTGTTTTATAGACGATGCCAGCAGAGCAAATACACTTTGCTAACCAAAGCTGCTTGCCTGTTTTCCTGCTTTCTCCATCCTTCCATTTGCCGCTTTGCTTCGTTTGCGTCGTCCCTCCTTGCCCTTCCTTATCCTCTGCTTTTCTTTCACCTTTTCCTCTTTTCCCTTTTGGCTGCCTTTGTCCGGCCCTCAAAAGTCCAGTCCCTAACTGTGTCCCCCTTGCCTTTCTGTAGCTCCTCCTCGGGGCACAGGTGCCTCCCAAGGGGACGAATGGTCCGGGGAACGGAGGCTTCCCGATAAGTCTCAGCTCCGGTTTCTCTCTCAAAGCTACTGGTTTGGCCTCGAGCTCACGAAAAATAACCTTCGCTTCCCAGCCCGCGGACTGGCAGGAGGCTCGGAGCGGGGCCACGGCGGCCGCACGCCGTGCCCAGCCCTAGTGCTGCCGTGTGGAGAGCGGCCTCGCGGTGGCCCCTCTCGGGCGCTCAGCGGCCCCTCGGCGCCTCCGTAACGTCCCTGTCGCTCTTCCTCTTTCCGCAGGCCTGCAAAGTGCAGAGCAACCCTGGATTGCCTCCCCTGGCTCGGTGCGCCTCCCCAGCATGCCCTCTCTTGGTCTCGCCTCACCCACCATTGAGGAACCTGCCGATAGGGGTAAGCCAACCCGCCCTTCCTCTCCCCCATCCTTGCACCTTTTTGTAGAGTTACCTTGGTTTTCTTTCCCCCCGCCCCGTAACGCCTGCTATTGATAAAGAGCCGCTGGCGGCAAACTTTACAAAAAGGTGCAACAGCGTTTTGTTTTGTTCTTTTTTTTTTCGTTAAAAAAAAAAAAAAAACGAAACAAGACTTGCATTGTACCCCTCTAGGCAGTCTTCAGTGGTGGGTGGGACAGCACCAGCTGAGGGCATGCTGGGACGTTGGCCTGAGCGGCATCCGCGAGGGTCTGCACTTTGCAGACCTGTGCAAAGGGGGAGAAAAGGTAAGTGCTGCCTACCCCGTGCACCTGGAGCGCTCGGCACATGACACACATCTCCCACGAGCGCCTGGCCGGAGCGCGGCCCTCCCGTGCCTTGCAGTCCAGGAGGGTTTTCACGGAAGCCCCCGGCCCGCGGGGTCGGCCCCGCTCTCCATGCGCTCCGTCCTCCCTCCTCTGCGCAGGCCGTGCCCGTAAACCATGAGAACCCGCTGCCTTTTCCCTGCCCTTGAAATAATGTCGAGCAGCGCAGTGCTAACCAGCTTCCCGCACATGAGGCTCTTGTTTTGCTTCTTTGGCTTTGGCTTTATTTCCCTTTTTTTTTTATTTAATAAACGTGTTGTATGACTGTTTTTAGAAATAACAAATGTCCAATCAAACAAGGCAAGGAGCGTGTTTACATGGGAACAAAACTCAACGGAGAAGAATTCCTTTGATACAGACAAAAACTTAAGAGACCAGTGCAACCTGTTTGCTAACAAGATGCAAAATGTCGAGAAAGAGGGTTGGGAAAGACCAGTCCTCAGGCAGGATACGTCTGCGCGTGTCCTTCCCACGTGTGTCTGGGAAAAGTGTCAGGGACTTTTCATAAATGGCACCTTATTTTGTTCCTGGGAGGTTTCAGCAGCTCTCTGCTTTCTTGCCCCTCTGTTCACCCAAAAGACGGGTAATTTGGGTGAGTGGTAGCACCTGGTGAGCACCTCGTGGTGCTTTTGGTGGCAAATATTATTTCAGCACAAGCTGGAAGCTGTAATTGCAGGTGCTGCTGCACTCATTTGTATGGACTGGATTGCAAAGGAGGCGGCCAGGTGTGAGCTCGGGCGCCTGTTTGTAAATTCAGAACAACAACAACAACAAACAGCTTTCTTTGAGAAGATTATGATTTGTATGTTATTTTAGTAAGTGTTCAATGGAAGGCATCGGTTCATTGATTCCTAAAAGGAATGGAACATGCAGCCAGCCTGGATTAGGTTTATTCCGAGGTAATGCAGTCGTGAGGAAGGCTCTGTTTTGTTAATATTGGTGGTGTTTAAAGGTCGGGGCTCCAAGAGGGTGGATTTGAGGAAGCCGGCGCGGGTGCAGCCTGCATCTCCCTCCGGGCCGTGCGGATCTCCAGGAGATGCTCCAGGAGCTCCCGACATCCCTCTTTTTCCCCGAGGGGGTTTCTCGCCCTGCGCACGAGGAAGCGCCGTGCTGTCCCCTCCGTCCGCCCGCGCTCCGCAGCTCCTTGCGCCCTGTCCCCTCCGTGCCAGAGGGCCGGGAGGGCCCCGTGGCCCCTCTTTTCACCTGTGTTGCTGGGTGAGATGAGCGTCGACCCGCAGGTGCTCGGAGGTTTCCGTCTCGCGCTCCGGTTTCCGCCGCCTCTTTTCCGTGCGTCTCCTTCCCGGGGCTGCAGATCGCTGCAGGTCGCTCTGTGAACGGCCGGCCCGGTGGCCCCGCGGGTGAAACATTCCTGTGCTTAAGGCTGGAGAGGTTGGGCGTTTCTAATAACAAATTCAGCAGTGGGAGAGTGGGGGAAGCAGCCTCGGCACCGCACCGAGTGCGTTCAGCAATGGGGGAGGTCCCAAAGGACGAGAACGGGGCTGCGTGTTGCACCCTCTCGCTAGCACAACCAATGCAAATGAACAGATAATAAATGAACAGATTTGCCAAATAAATGAACAGATTTACCAAAAAATACCGCTTAATTGTTTGAGGTGGAGTGTTTGAAGCGCGTTTTTGAGGGGCTTGTTCAGTCCATAAATGTGTCTTCACCGCGGTGTCTCAGCTAAGCAGTTCTGAGAGCTTGGTTGATAGGTTAGGGTTGAGTTGGGTTGTGCTTAAGCAGCACCTGGAGCATCACGGATGTGTGGAAGCAGCCCGGACCGCTGTGTTGCCTTGGAGGGAATTCTAAAACCCGTAGGATGCGTCGCTGATGGACGGCCTTGCTATTCACTGGGCTTTGCTTGAGCCCCCGGGCGTTTTCTTGAGATGCGTGGGTGAAAGGGGACATAACGAGGAATATTTTTATCCTAGTTGTTGAATGTTGGACCGAGGAGATCTCAGCCGGGCCAGAGGCGAGAGCCCAGGAAGATCATCACTGTGTGCGTGAAGGAGGACGTGCACCTCAAGAAGGCAGAGAACGCCTGGAAGCCCAGCCTGAAGAGAGAGAACCAGACCGAGGACCCCGAAAATGTCAAAACGCAGGTGAGGGCGTTAGCAACCCCTTCTCTGAGCACAGCAGTTTGCCTCGCCAGGAGGAAGACTGTGATTTGCCTTTGCTGCTGTGTAAGACACTAAAAAGGGCACCCGAAGCCCAGGTTGAATCCCAGCTTTGGCCTACCTTGATCTTTGTTGTTGTTTTTATTCTTGCTCTGGAATTTAATTTGCAAACATATAAATCAAGGGCATCTAAACAGACCAGACAACCTACTACCTCTCTTCTAGGATATTTTTGTAATATTGCTATTTTTACTAGAATATTTCTGTCCTAATCCTAAAGCAAACAGCCTCAAACTACCAGCACACAACTCGCTTTTCATCCTCGTCTAAATTATGTTTCTGTCGTGGACCTCGGCATCGCTGAGGTTCCCTGGTGACATTCCCTTGGCTGGGCCTGCTGTCCCCAAAGCGCCGTGGCTGAAACGCTCTCTGTGTTTCTCCCAACCTCCTTCCCTGGGTGATATTTTGCCTGGCGGTAAAACTTGGACAAGAAGGTGGGGTATTGGTGAAGGCCACTGGAATGCTGTTCTCGGGAATGACAGCAGCCCTGTGACCTAATTATCCCTCTGGATAGAAAAGGAAAAACAGTCTGCCTTGAAGTAAGTGTAGGAAGGGTTGATCACCTCTTGTGAGGGAGATGTCCGCTTCCCCTCTGCTAGCTAAATTAATACCAAACAAGCTGTTTTAGCTTTCAGTTGCAGTGTTTTCTCCAGTAGGATGAGTGTTTCCAAGCTGGTTCTGACCTGCTGGCCTTCAAAAACCATCTAGCTCATTTCTGAAGGCTGCCCTTCACCTGGTTTTTGCTCTGCACTTAACCGTTTCCGTGTCATTTTAGGAGCTGTTCCGCAAGGTACGAAGCATCTTAAACAAGTTGACGCCCCAGATGTTCAATCAACTAATGAAGCAAGTAACAGACCTGACCGTAGACACAGAAGAGAGGCTGAAAGGAGTCATCGACCTGGTCTTTGAGAAGGCCATTGATGAGCCGAGCTTCTCGGTGGCCTACGCAAACATGTGTAGATGCCTCGTAACGGTAAGAGCAGCAAGAGTCAAAGGGGAAGTTCTTTTGGGTAGATGGTCCCCTGGTTGCCCCTTATCCCCGTAAATTGAATGCTAGTTACAGAAACATGGCCAGAGCAGAGTTAAACGTTAGCTTCTGAATTTAAATCCTGATTTACGCCAGAGATTTGCTCTCGTGCGCTCGTTGGCCGTGCCTGCAGGCTTTACAAGTGACGTGTTGTTTGGAGTTAGGGACACCAAACACTTAACTCTGCCTGGTCACAAGATGCAGTGAGTCATCTTTGGAAAGTCCAATTTCTCTCTCTGCTTTGAAAGGGGAGCCCAAGGTGCTGAGCCAGGCCTTGGCCAGCCCGCTTTTGGAGGCTGAAGTTAGCACAAAATAACCACCTCTTGCCTCCGACCACGGTTTGCCGCAGCAAAGGAGCTGTGACTCCAGAGTCTTCACTGCATAACAGGAATATTTTTTACTCCATATGTCTTTTTAAAGGACCCCCAGGGCTGGAAATGCAATCTGCCTCCAGGCAGAGGTGGTGCCAGCCAAGTTTGGAGCACGGCTTTCCATGTGAAATCAGTTACTCCGCTGGAAACTGTGACCTGTGACCTGCTCCTTCACCGTCGTAGCCTTGCAGAGCTGAACGTGAAGCGCAAAATGACATGGAATTTGTGGGGTAGGGCCAGTCTCACCACTTCTCCCTCTTCCTGCAGCTGAAGGTGCCCATGGCAGACAAACCTGGGAGCACAGTGAATTTTCGCAAGTTGCTGTTGAATCGCTGCCAGAAGGAATTTGAAAAAGACAAAGCCGACGACGACGTCTTTGAAAAGAAGCAGAAAGAGCTTGAAGCTGCTACCACTGTGAGTGGTGTTTTCCCCCCTAAATCCTTGGAGGTCCCCTGAAAATGATCTCTTTGAAGAATGCCATTGATTTGGGGGGGTTTTGGAGTTCTTCGGATTTTCCCTGGCTCACTGCGGCTGAGTATATTAAAAGATACCGTCTTGATTGATGCTTTAATAAGAGCTTCTCCTCATTTGTTAGGAGAAGGCAGATAAACAGGGGCAGAAGCACCTATAACGCAGAACAGGATCTTTTAAAGCACTTTGTGCTCTGGGATCATGCTTTCTAGAGCTCCCTTTTCTGTTTTACAGCCGGAGGAGAAGACACGGCTCCACGACGAGCTGGAAGAGGCCAAGGACAAAGCTCGGCGGAGATCCATTGGGAATATTAAATTCATTGGTGAACTTTTCAAGCTCAAAATGCTGACGGAGGCCATCATGCATGACTGCGTGGTAAAGCTGCTGAAAAACCACGACGAGGAGTCCCTCGAGTGCCTTTGCCGCCTGCTAACTACCATTGGCAAGGACCTGGACTTTGAGAAAGCAAAGGTAGGGCAGGACCTAGGGCCAAACACAAGCTGGACAAGCATGAAAAATTGGGCGTGTGCTATTTTTATTTGAGGATTTATTTCTTCGTCAGGAATTTCTGTACGGCATTGGGAAAGCATCTGCTCTTTGGTGGATGTTTCATCACGACCTGGCCTCGTTCCCTCCTTTCAGCCCCTTTGTCATAGATCGGGTATCATTTTCAACAGTGTTTTCCAGTTGTTACATGTTTACAAATATTTCCACATGTTTCATCCGAGTTCACGGTCAGCAGTGACTGACAAATACTGCAAGTTACTTTTTTCCAAACAGCATTCACCTCTTACCTGTAGTTTCTGGTATCTTGCGAGTTAAAGTGGCCTCTCTCAGGGGCTTTATTGCCTGGGAAATGCATCCCTGAACGTGGTGTTCAGGTTTGGTGAAAATGTGAGAAGCGGCCTGAGCTCCCACCTGAACCTTGTGTCGTCGCCTGCGGCTCTGCTGGGAGGAAGCTGATGTTTTGCAGCTCCATCTTCCTCCCGTTTCCTACCCCGTGTGTGTTAACACGGGGCCTCTGGTGCTAGATGAGCTTGGGCTGGCACAGCCTCCCGAGAAGCCAGGCTCGGGATGAGCAAGCAGTGTGGCCTTTTGCCAGCACTCGGCTCTGGAAGCGGACGGAGCTAATTGCTGTCAGCTGCCGGGGAAGGGAGCTCCCTTCCCGGCTCGCAGGGATTGCAGCCGATCAATCCTGATCCTGAGAGCAGCTTCCCAAAGCATTTTGTATAGCATGGACTGAAACAGGGCATTTTCCACCGATCCCCTGGACTAAATCCCACCGTTCCCCTGGGCTAAATCCCCTTCCCTGATGCACCGGGGGGATTCCATTTCTCCGCGTGCTTTGGGAGGAAATCAGGATCCAGCTTCTGAGCCATAGCTGAGGTCCCATTAGATGAGTCCTGGGTGCTGTTTCAGTCTTTGTGATTTGTTATTTTTATCAGGATTGAATGTGGATCTTTTATTTATTTCCTATGAAAAGGGGAGACATTTTATTACATGCTTTTATTGAGGCTGAAGTGTTGGTGATAGTTATAATTAAGCTTTCTGGAAAAAGTCCATTTAAAATATTTTTCCCCTCACTCTTAACTTCGGAAACATTTACCATCGTAGCTGAAACTTTCCAGAGCAGGGCTGTAGTGAGTTTTAATAGGGTTTTTTTTTTTTTTTAAGTGTAAGGAAAAGGATTTAGCTAGTTTTTAATGAAGGGAGTGGGAAATATTTTATTTTTACAAAACTACCCTGCCGCTTTTTGTTTAAAACAGCTGGAGCCCTGTTTGGGGAATAAAGAAAGGCTGAAGTTTAAGAGGCAGGCAAGTGAAACTTAGACCCAATGGAG